TAAGATGGAAATAAGCTTGGTATGTTTGAGGAAAAATTAAAAAAAGCAATATCAGGTGCACCACAGGAAACAAGTGAGAGTGCTAGGACTTTGTAGGCCATAGATTTTATCTAGTTGCAATAGGAAGCCAGGGAAGGATTGTAAAGAGAGAAATGACTTTATCTGATAGATCCTCTAAGAAGATCAGACTTGCTATTATGTGAAGAATGAAATGTTAGGGAGAAATGAACAATAACAGTTAACAAAATAYAATATTGTTCCTTTACAGTGTTTCTTACTTCTCTCTCTGTTCCCACTTCTAATAATGGATTAATTCAAAAGCATCCAAGCTATTCTTCCATAGCCAGACAATACCTTTTTTTTAATGCTTTAATCATGCCTTTCTGCGACAAAAGTCTCAAATCACTTACCACTGCCAACAAAATAAAACCCAAATTCTCTGACACTCAATAATATTCCACAATCTAATCCCAAACCACCTTTCCACCTTTGTCTTCCACTCTACTATTCCATTCAACATGGTTGACTCAGTCTTTCCTGAACACAACTTACAATGCCAACTTCCTTAATATAGCTCTATGCACACTGACCCTTTTCCTTATTCTTTTCCTATATTCAAATTCTCTCTCTTCCCATGGCTCAACATTCATTATTCTTAGTTATCCAAAGCAGTAGTTTTTTAATTGATCCATAAGATATCATGATCCAGTTTACATAAGTTTCACAATTCTACATTTAACTTTACTTCATGCAATCCATTTTGGCATTTTCTATTGTTTTCAATTTCTTTTTCAACAAAAATGGTCACACAGAACACTAATGATTTTCAGTTTTCCATTATTAGTGCACCTAGACATTAACTGGACACTTAAGTAGATCATAGTACTGAAAGATGAAACCCATAAATACCAAACTATAATAGCCTTAACTGTAAGGATATAACAGGGTCACTATTTATACTTCATTTTATTTATCATCATGCCAGCAAACTATTTATTAATCATCACTGTAAAGAAAGACTGATATTAAACATAGTTATCATAATTCATGATCAGACAAGATCATGATTTAGGAGTGCTTTATATTCACATCACCTTGTTTCAAACTGTAACTATCAAAGTCAAAATGGTCATTTTCAATGATACTGTAACCAACGCTTCCTGCCTTCCAACCTCATAGAATTACATAATAGCTTTGTAAAATGTGGGGATATAGTAACTCCGTAAGTGCTAGTTTTCCTCTTTCCTTAAGGGGTATGTGAAAGTCCATATGTATGGAGGATACCTAATACCATTTTGTAAGACATCGATCTCTTTTATTACAAATAGTCATTTCTCTGCCTAGGAAGGAATTATTAATTCTGTGTCCTCATTTGGCCCTTCCAGTTTTGCCAAAGTTTAATAAGGGTAAGCCTTTTGTTTTGATGGAATGACAGCTATTAAAGTTGAATGGCCTCTCCTGCAGTCAGCACTAAGGTTCTTGACCATTAAAGTCCTGTTTAAAGTTGTTGACTCTGTTAAAAAATATCATCAGTAATTTGAATTAAGAAAATGAAAAAGCAATGAAGCGACCTAAAATCTGTACTGAATCCTTTCTTCTCTGGCAAAGGACCCAATTCATAAGCAAAATAAATTCTTAGTTCTTCAGTCTCAAAGAGTTTACCATGAGATAATTCATATAGGTTCCTGAGGAATACAGAATATTTAAAGGTATTCTGTTTTCTCTCCATTTTCACCTTCTTGGACTGTTATGACCTGTTGTAGGTCTAGGGGACCAGGGATGGCATACAGGTAACAAATGCTCCTGAACCATCTAGACCAAGTTCAACACAATCCACATGGTTTTAGGCAGAAATCAGCCCCCAGGACAAAATCAAGAAAGAATGCAAACTTCCATATTCAATCTAAATTACCCAAAGGTCCTTGATATGCTGTAGGTATCTGGTATAATACTCTGGGTATTCCAGACCCCAAATCTCCACCATTAGGCTTCCCTCTGTAATCTGGGAGTATGAACCTCAACATTTGTTAGCTATTATTTCAAGGACAGAACACAGGCTTTTAACAATCTTACAACTTTATTTAAGAGAGCCATCTGGAAATACTCTGCCAATCACTAACATTTGCCCAACACTGCATTTGCCCAAGTAAAAAAACAGACTCAGAGATTTATATCTAAGATTTTAGAACCAAGCTTAAAAGGAAAAAAAGCATTTTCTTAAATGAAGATTTATATGCATATGTGTGTATATGAATACATATAATACATATATTTATAGTGGCCAAATTTCAAGAATATGAATTATTTGAATTTCAAGAATATGAATTATAAAAATGCCTTTTGAGAATAAAGACAAAATTAAATTTACCATTTTGATGGTGAGATACTTTCTTCACATAAGATCATGCTTAAAGGCAAAGGACAGGTAAAGCCAAAATTCTATTTATCTCAAAGGATGCCAAAGCTGGATTAACGTTTTTCTATAACACATCAAATAAAAAACCATGCCTGATAAAAAGGACTATTAAATAAAACTAGGTGGGGGCCTAAAAATTTAATAACAATATAGGGGGGCTGGGGTTGTGGCTCAGTGGCAGAGCACTTGCCTAGCATGTGTGAGGCATTGGGTTCGATTCTCAGTACCACATACAAATAAATAAAATAAAAAATTTCATCGACAATTAATAAAAATAGTTTTTAAAAAGCTGATGTTTTAAAAATATATATATAGGCTTAAATTTTTAAAAATATTTCTGTGCTGCTTTCCTGGTAAACGCCTCCCCAAGCCTTAAGTCTCCCTGGTAAATTTTCAAAAGTGGGAATGGGTTATTAAATCTGGTTTTGTTTTGGCACTGACCCTGTGACACATGCTACTAAATTAAGAGTTTTATTTATAGTGATAAAAAAACTTTGAAAAATGTATCTTCAAAAGGTTAATCCTGTATCACCTTTCAGCAAAGGCTTAGAGAAGAAAGGGAGGGAAGAGGACAAAAAATTAAAAAAAAAAAAAGGAAGAAGAAGAAGAGAGCAAGAGGAAGAAATAATTTGAGAAATAAAGAAATGAAAAATGTGTACTAGCCCTTCTAGATTAATAAAGAATGTATGTCTATTAGCCCTTTTAGGGCTAGCAGAAGAGAATGAGAGAATCATACCGTAAGTATTATAGCTTAGTAAACTAATCAGAAAGTCTCACACTAAGTAAATAAAACCAGAACAAAAGACCTTYACTGGAGATGTCATACAGCCCAGGTAATACAGAGATGCATGTTGTACATATGTCACAATCAGACACTAGATTAAACAACTTATAGGGTATATCTAAATAAATACTATGAGTGATACACATGTCATTTTCTCTGAGGTTTTCTAAGTTATCAGTAAGTMAAAAATGATATCCAGAATGCCTGAAACAAAATTTGCTCAAAAGATTTTAAAACCTCCATTCCAAAGAGTTACTAAAAAAAAAAAAAAACTCTTTCAAATGTTAAAACAAGTTTTGCCAGGTTTCCAATGGGGGGGTCTATCAAGGGCCACATCCAGATGGACGACAGAATTATAAAAGTCACATATTTATCAGTATTTAATCCTTGTAGCCCAAAATATTCTCTACACTTCTATTTAAAGTTCAATGTTAGAGTTTAGTTTTAGAATCCTCAGAGAGATCATTTCTTGATCTTTTCATGGTCTTTCCTGCCATGTTTTAAATCATCCATATCTTTAATATACTAGAAATGTAATTCAGAAAATAGATTTAAAAAAAAAAAAAAAGGAAGATCTCCTGCTGAACTGCATTGTCACTAACAAAATGTCTTCTACCAGACCCCTGAACTTTGAGTTCCAATTTTATCCTTCATTCAATATTAACGTACTGTATATCCAAATCTCAGGCACTGAGGATACAAAAGTGAACAAAACAGAATCCTTGCCTTTGAGGCTGGCCTTAAAGTTGGGATCCTCCCGCCTCAGTCTCTCAAGTAGCTCAGATTATAAATGCGCACCRCCAGGCCAGCTCCAAAACACAAATACCATCATACGTATGACAACTCATTTTAAAATGAATAAATGCTACATATTGCTGAGAGAGAACTTTTCAGTATAGCTGACAAAACTCTTCAACATCTGGCCTGGTTTACCCTATACTATAATCTTTCATATTCACACTAAACCTCTTGCAGTTTCCTTAGTATTCATTGCTCACCCATCAACCTCTGCAGTCTTTCAAGACTCTATACAAAAGGGAATCAAGTAATCTTCCAAAATAACCTTTCTGCACCCTCAACCACCCTCTGCCTCCCATCACATACTTATTATGTTACACAGTATTTTAATTATTCTTCTCTAACAAAGATGTGAGTTCCTTGAGGACAGAAACTATGTTAAACATTCTTATATTTCCTATGTAAAGCTTGCTGCTTGCTTACAATGATGTATATAGTTCATGCTTGATAAATGTGTTGAAAGCATGAATAAATGAACAAACTGCAAATAATTAATGCACTCCAATTTTTCATATTTATTACCTATTCCAGAAACCTAATCCTTTAGCAAGACCATATTTAAGCCATGAGCCTATCATGATTTTTTAAAAYATTTTTTTAGTTGTCAATGGACCTTTAGTTCACTTATTTATATGTAGTGCTGAGAATCGAACCCTGTGCCTCACACATGCTAAGCAAGTGCTCTACCACTAAACCGCAACCCCAGCCTGCCTATCATGATTAACCTGTTCTGAAAGGCAGAAATAAAAGAAAGCTACCCCATGAACTCAAAATTCAAATGAGCTTAAAATATGTTTATTTCTTCTAGTTTAGGTAGCAAAAGCTTACTTTTTTAGTCATTTCTTGAAAAAAAAACAAACCATACATATCAGAATCATGACAGGCTTTACATTTTAAAAAATAAAATTATAGTTATATATGTACTGTTACATTATTTTCACAGGTAAAATTATGAGTTTGCTTTTTAAATATAAGTAAGAACTACACCCATTACTGACTCACCGGTTCTTTTCCAGCTCATTATGTGTGGATCTAAAAGGAAAAAAAAAAAACAAAAAAAGAACATTAGCCACACTTGTTAATAAAGCTATAGAAAGGGGAGTTAGTTTAGTTACTGCTATGCCATGACCCTATAATTTAACAATGCAACATATGGTCACACTTCTACAATGTCATGCATCAAAAGGCAAAGTCAACATTTATTAGAACTTTTCTTTCAGACAGTGTTTTCAGTTAACAGTGTTAAATATTCTGAAATTGAAATTTGTTTATTCTAATAAAATTAATACTAGCMCATGCCTTCCTGCCTATAACTAGAGCATCCTGTATTTTGTTGAATACATTATATCAGAAATTTTTATTAAAATATTTAATTCAAAATTAAAATGAGCTTAAAAATGTGTTTACTACTTCTAGTTTAGATAAGAATACCATTTTTATCTAAAAATACCATTTTTATTTAGAAAGAAAAAATGTGCATAGTCCTCCTCTATCTCCATCTATGTACTACTAAAAGAAGAAAAAAAAAAGTTTTCCCTAACATAGAAACAAAACAAGCTTGCCTTACTGCTAGGTGACCAAGCAAATTAAGCCTTTCTGACTTTTATGTGAAACACATGAGAAAAGATACACAAGAAAAATATAAAATATAAGGAAAAGATACACATAATAAAATCAAGAAACAAGCTTAAAGACAGGAAAGATGTGACTCAAAATGCTAGCAATGGTTATTTTCTTTTGCTGACCTTTTTTCATTTGCCTTTCAGTATTTGTTAGGATACTTACCATCTACTGAGCAAGCATAGTACTTGTTAAGGCAACATGATAGCAGTTAACACATGTTATCTCACTTTATTCCTAAAACAACCTTTGTTTTATAATCACTAATACTGACTCAGAGACAAGAAACAAACTCCTGAGGCTGGGGCTGGRGCTGTAGCTCAGTGGTAGAACGCTTGCCTGGCACACGTGAGGCACTGGGGTTGTTCSTCAGCATCACATAAAATAAACAAAATAAAGACATGCTGTCCCTCTACAACTATTAAAAAAAACCAAAAAACAAACTCCCATCTCAATAGTATTAGCAGCAATAAATTAATCCCAGATCTCTCTTATTTCAAAGCCCCAAGTTCTTAACCACCTGATAAAAAGCAATTCTGAATAAAGATTAAGGGCATACTCAAAGGCCAGACTGCCTGAGTTCAAATACTGTGTGGCTTTGGTAAAATTCCTTCATTTTTCTGTGCTGTTTTCTCATCTATGAAATAAGAAAAAAGACAATATAATTAACCTTCCATATCTATGGGTTGCACATCTTTGGATTCAGATTGAAAATATTTGGAGGAAAAAATGCATTTACACTGAACACATACAAAAGTTTTTGTCATCATTCACTAAAATATAGTATAGCAACTATTTACATAGCTTWAAATCATATTAGGTATTATAAGTAATCTAGATATAACTTAAATAATACAGGAAGATGTAAATAGGTTACAAGCAAATATACATTTTATATAAAGGACTTGAGCACCCACAGATTTTGTTTATCTTTGGGAGTTCCTGGAATCAATTCCCCACAGATACTGAGGAACAGCTGGAATTGCCYCATAGGATTGTTACAAGAACTAACAAATTTATACTAAACAACAATATATAATAAACTATATAAAGTTTGCTACTATTAGGATTATGTTATACTAACCTAGTTCCCTTGAATGACACTGTATTACTTTTATGATAATTTAGCATTAACAAGAATTTTATAAAGGAGAATTTAAGTTTCTATCACTAGACCTAAAACTTTAATCTTTTTATACATTCTGGTAAATGTCAAATGACTTCAGAATATTTTACATAACATTACTTTAATCTGATTTATTATTCCAATGGATATTTAATAAAAACAGCAGGATTTCCAAAACTTAAAATAAATGTTTTTGCAAGCCTCATAATTTGTGAAAATTTTACCTACTGTTTTAGTTTAAGAGCTTAAAGACTTGAGTTACTCTCTCCTGTCTACCTTTTGCTTTCTTAGCAGTTTCATAAAGTACAGTGAAATGGGATGAAAAAGACAGATTCATTTTAAGGAGTTTATCTTAATAAACATATCATTTTTTCAAAAAATGAAAAAAAGAATCTTAGGATGTTTTAAAACTTCAGCCATATTAATAGCAAATATGAATAAATCAGATGGAAGAAACTATAAAAACATAGTCAAAACTTGTAGAATTTAATAAAATTCAATACTCAACAATTACAATGAAACCCCATCTTAACCGTAAGTATTAAGTATTATGTTTTTAAATTTATTTTCTATTTGAATGAAATGTTAAAGCAGAAAGATAGAAGAGAAAAATGGCATATTTTAAAGAGCTTTAAAACTAAACATTACTTCAAAATATGAATGGGTTTATTGATAACAAGATTTCCAGCCTCGTAAGTTTTGGTTTAATGGCCTTTCTCTAAGAAGAAAACTAAGATCAAGTAAAACAAAAACAAAAAACAATCCACATATAAAACACTGGAAGTAATAAATTAAAACATATTCAGAGAAAAATAGATTCTAGTTTAGCATAAACTTTTTCTAAACAATCTGGAAATCTCCCTGGTAGCCATAAATACTAAAGACAATATACTCAATGATAACCAGTTGCTGAATAACAATATTATATTGAGCCTATTACAAAAACAAGCACCAAAGGAACATAATCTGACCCACTGATATGAACAAAATTAAAACATCAGGTCTTTCTACCTCTCTCAAACAGATTTTTTACTATTTGGCTTCTTCAAAAAAGAAAGAAAGCAAGCTAAATGTGAACTTTTCCACCAAAYCAACTAATGTATGCCATCTTTAGTTATTCTATCAGGAAAAAAAGTTTTCCAAATAACAAGAAGCAAAAATTATCATAAATATACTAATCATTACCATATTAAYTTTTTTAAAAATAGCATCAGTATTCACTATTATTTTGATGAGCTTTTGCCTATAATATCAAGTCAACAAATAATAAGTACCTTGTTCAAAACTGATTTAGGGGCTCTCTAGTTCATAAATTAAGACATGGATAAGAATAATTAAAACTCAAGGCAACATAAAAAAATGAAGAAAGGTACAAAGTATTGTAAGAATTCAAAAGAGGCAGAGTTTACTTCCAAATGGGGCTTTAGAGAAAATTTAGAAAAAGATGGCATTTCAGCTGGGGCTTAAACAATAGGTGCGTTTGCTATTAGCAAAGTCTGGAACCAGCTAAGGAGATACCATTCCAAGTAGAAGGGACAAGATAAGCAAAAAAGCAAAGTTGTACAGTCCAAACAAAGCAAAACCAGGAAACAATGTACAGGGATCATAAAGACCAATGGTGTAGAGAAAAAAAGTTCTGAGAATTCTCATTCACACTAGTTATGTAAAATTTGGGATAAATTATTTAATGCCCCTGATTCAGTTTCTTCATTTGGCAGGGTTACTGTGAGACCTAGAAAAATAAATAAATAAAGCATCTAGCACAGATTAAGTATTCAATAAATACTAGTTACTACTCATATTATTTTGAACAAGACTAAATATATTCTTCTCAAAACATGTGAAGTATGTTATGAGACAACAATTTGACAGGTATTCAATAAACTTGGAATTAGCCTGAAAACAAACAAGCAAACAATCATAATAACAAAGAGAAAAGGTAGGTGACTAAAAGACACCTGATCATTTAACCAGTTATGAGGCCAGTAAAAGGTTTAAGAATATAACAAAGAGAAGAAAATAACAGTCCAAACAGTGCTGGCAATAAATTAGTAATTGAACACACTAGCACACTGAGAAACGATCCCTTTACTTCTCTGAGCCTACGTGTCCAACCAGGTCCTTCCAATAATATCACTAAAATACTCAAAAGTGATCAATTTCCTGTAAGATTCAGATGTTCTGAATAATCCATTTTGTATCAGCCCACTTTTTTTCTCCAAATAAAATGCACCTCTGAGAAAAAACACTAAGGAACTGAATGACTTCCTTTTAGACATCCTAACTTTTTTTTTTTTTAGTTGTAGATTGATAGCATGCCTTTATTTTGTTTCATTTTTATATGGTGCTAAGGATAGAACCCAGTGTCTCATACATGCTAGGCAAGTGCTCTGCCACTGAGCTATAGCCCCAGCCCCAACATCCTTACTCTTAATTCGTAACAACTCCCAAGAGTAGAAAGAAAGATATTTCTATAATTTTATCATGAAGTACAGGTAATCTTTTTTTTTTTTTTTTTTTACAAATAACATCCTTTTGAGAGAGACATCCTTTCCTATTTAAATGAGAGCCACTATCTCAACCAAGTCTGAGTTTTCATTGACTACAACATGCCTCTAATACATAAACTTTTAATTCTTTATGGTGTAGTTTGGTGGCAATCAATAAAACAATACATAGAATTCAAACTGCACAAAACGGCACAATTTGGCTCAAGAATAGTGCTGCCATGGAAGGAAAATAAAAGCCCCCATTCCCAGAATACTCTACTAGACTTGTTGAATTAATGAGCCAACCCCCAATTCATTAACATTTTTGTTTCACTTAYTTTCTAAACCTAAAGTACCTAACAGATGCTGCCTTCTACACAATGAAAAGAACAYATTCTATGAAGCTAGATAAGTAGCTTCTAACTGATAACCTTAAAGGGGTGGAGTGGGGGGAATTTATCCATCCATACCCCAAGGCAAGAAAAACAAAATTTCAGCTAGAGTAAAGCAGGGGTATCTCTAAAGTTTATATCCAAAGAGGGTTACACCTGGACTTAGCCTGGAAACAAACAAGCAAAGAATCATAAGCTCAAAGCTAGAGATGCTACTAAACATCCCATGATGCACAAAACATTATCTTGCCCAAAATGTCAATAGTGTGGAAGCTGAGAAACACTGAAACATAGAAAAGGAAAGAATGAAACAGAAAGTGGGAAAGAAAAGTGAATATCAATAAACATTTAAAGATGATTTTTTAAATCAAAAAATTGATAAATAACTTCTAAGACTAATGAAAA